AAGTTGCTTAATAATCAGAATAAATTTTCAAAAAGTCAAAACTCAGCAAGGACAGGAAGCATGTTCATGTTACCCGTGTAACAAAAACATAATAAGCACATTATAGTTTAATTTCCTAGACCCAGCCAATCTAATAGCCCCTGATTTTGTGAATGCTGCCTTGGCTGAACTCTCTGCATTTTCAGGTGAGTAGCAGGATTTGTTACTGAGTTGTAAAATCAYTGGTGATTCCTACCTGTTCTGGTTCTCGGTATTTACTGTATCTGAAAGTTTTGTAAAGGAAAACAGGCTGAGAAGGTTTCACAATTAGTGACCATGCAATTACACCTGGAAACATGTTTTAAGAATGAAGGAACTAAAAAAAAAAATGCAATCTAGAAAATTATAAACCTGCAATTGTAAATTCTTCACAAAGCACTCAAAAAGGATACAAATGAACTCCTTCTGGCTGAGATGGTATGAAATCTGGAGACATTATATCTCCTTCTATAACTAGAAGAAATATGCAGAATAAACACATACAGGATTAAATTGCATTCTCCACGTAAGTTGTTACAATTCACAGCAGTTCGAATTCTAATTTCCAGTAATCAGCCCTGAAACTTGTTTGCTTCTGGGAAAATAAGAAGGAAGTATGTATTTATTTAACGTATGCCAAAGGCAAAGATAGAACAGCTTAYACTATATATGACTATATACAGAAGATATATATAGAATCCTGTACATTCTAACCTTTATATAGTTCTGTTCCTAAAAACGAAGTATTCTTAAATTATTGGGCTTTTCCCATAAAATTGTAGACAATATCTCAGGTGCAATTTTAGACTAATCTAGATAAAGCCACAGTTTGCTGACTCAGCTGACAACRCAGTCATTTTGCAATGCAGTGCTTAAGGTTTTGCTTACCAACTTCAACAAATTCATTGTCCTCTAGAGCATCCCCCACCGTGTCATCAAGATCCAGCAAGCCAAGTCCCTTGCACCTTCGAATGTAAAACTTTACTTCTTCCACTGAGGCAAATCCCCCATTGTCAGGTTTGTTCTTCATGTATCGTCTCACAGCTTCCTTTCCCAGCCACTCAATGGTGTTGGTGGAGTTTAGGCACGGCACTGCCAGCCATTCTCCTCGGACGTGCACTGTGTATCTCGGCATGCTTCCTCCCCAAAAATTGTTCCTTGACCAAGAAGGGCTGCAGCATGCAGCAGCCTCACATTTACCATGCAATGGCCTGGAGAGCTGTGCCTATCTGAAGCCCAGTGTTGCAATCAGACAGAGGCGAAAATCCACCCTCAAAATCCTCAGGTTTGCAAATAAACGAGATCAGTGTTCGGCTGACTTCATCCAATCAAACCAAACCCAGGCAAAACACCCTTTTCACAGAAAGGCACAACCCCCCAGCGACTGCCACAGGAATTCTATTCCAAAGATCACATCAGGAATACAGAAATAAAAATCCAGGAGCTGCAGCTTATGCACCAAGAATAGGTAAACTGGACTAAGAYGCAGCATAACTATTCTAAAAATGTAATGTTTGATAAGAACTAATTTAATGCCAGCTATTTCCTGGCAGTAAATGACACTAGCAAAAACCTCCATGAGGGACAGGGCTGCAAGAGAGGCACCGTGGGAATATGGGTTGCTCCTGGCTGCTAGGATTGAAAGAAGATTGTRTTATATAATTTTACATCTCTATCCAGAGCAGGATAAAAGCAGGTGGTAGAGGCAGTAAACCTGCTTTGATGGGTCCCATGCTCAWGTTTGAAAACATAATCTTTTATTGTGGGTAAGGAAAAAGTTAATTAATTTCTACAACTTCTCCCTTATGCTCTGGAAGATTGCTAGAATGGCTATCAACAAATACTAGGCCACACCTGCACACTGCCAAGCCCAGTGCTGCTATGTCACATTTCCTTCRCAGGCAGAAGATGCAGAGGAAAAGATGTGGAGACAGCTGTTAAGATGGTGCCAAAAAAAAAAAAAAAATTTAACAATAACCATGTATACACAGAATCTGAACATACCTGTTTTTAAAGGCAAAACAGTAACACCACTCAAAGCCCATGCTAGTTCCCAAACAAAGTGACTACTTAGGGTTTAACTGTTGTAGGGAATGGTAACTTGGGACCCATCAGAGGGAGACACTGTCYCAGCAGAGCTACCTAGAATCATGCTAGAGAAAGCCAAGCCTGACACAATTCTCTTTTTTTTTTACTCTGACAGCGAGAAACCAGGATTATCTGGCATCATGAACTCTAACTGCCAAAGCTCTAAATGATACATGCGCATTTACAACAAAATGCCAGTTACTCCAAAACTAGTTACATAAAGCATTTATAAACAAAGGGCAGTTTTCATTGCAATCTGATAGCTCAAATCGGAGACTGTTAACATCAGACACCCTCTCCTGTGACCAGACYTTTGACCAGGAGAATACTCATTAATCAATTAATTAATTAATTCACTCATTCATTCAGGTGATGCTGTATCAGAAGCCTAATGAGATTTTGGGAGTGGGTGAAAGGAAGTGCATAAATTTCTAAGCTGAAATATTGCAAAAATTCTTTTCACGACTTCGCTAGCAGTCACCACTCATTCAGGAGAGCACCAAGACAATGAATGGCTCATTATGTCCTTAATACAAGAAAGTCTGTTTAAGTTCTTCACACATGAGGAAATGACACTATTTTTATTCCCCAAAATCCAGTATTTTATTGTGTTAAATAAAAGGTGTCACAACACCCATAGATCCTAAACTGATCTTTGAGCCTCAATAACATAGCAGCTAATTTTTCTATAATTTTAATTTAAATTAATTAGACATATGTAGGTTAAAGTTGAATGGAAGAGCTTAGGATACCTCACATTAATTAAATACATGAATGCCTTAATTTATATTACAGCTGCCACCATGAAAAGATGAATCTCCTGACGAAGTACATAACTTCATCTCCCTATGTGSTTGTTTTGGGGTAGTTAATTTTCTTTGCACAGCATGGAGCTGTGTGAGGAGCTTTAATCTTGGTTTGCCTCACCACTGCTTGTCAGAGGCACGTGGGGGAAGGGGCACACACGTGCAGCCTGCAGGAGGCAAACAGGAGATGGGKGAAGCCTTGTCTCTGGGGTGACTTCACCTGGCAACAGCTCACATGGACACCTGGAGACACTGCTCATCCCAGAGACATTTCTCCAATCGGATGGTGGAAGGGCTCCACCAATGGAAGAAGGATGGACTGGACCAATGGTCTCCTGGTCATCAGGCAAACTCTGGGAAGAGCCAGGGGTATAAAAAAATCAACTGCGCCATGAGGCTTTGGGGGAGCTGAATTCCGGAGTTGAGTTTTCGGAGCGGGGTTTTGAGGAGCTGGACTTTGGAGCTGGACTTCGCGGACTTTGCTGAGCTGGAGTTGGGGGTGGTCGTCTGTCTCTGTGTGTGTGGCTGGGTTTTTTTTGCTCTTTGCTGCTCACTGTTGGTGGGCTTGCTGCTGAGGGGTCCTTTTTGCCCCGGCTCCAGCCTGCCTGGATTTTGCCCTCGCTAACTCTCTCTCGCCCCCACGTATCTGCCTTCCCACCTGGGCACTTGGCAGGATTCCATCTGCCCTCCAAGCCTCCACTGCCTCTCCTCGYTCCTTCGCTGACCCAGCCGCCGCCTGTCCTGCCTGTGCCACCTGCCTGCCTCCGACCTCGCCCGCCGCCGCGATCCTCGCTTCGACTCCACGCAGGGTCCCGGTCCTGTCCGAGTGTCCACTCACCGCGTGTCCAGCAGCCCATCATCGCCGGGCCGCTCCTCTCCCCGAGCTGCTCTCCCTCCGCAGCAGTGCTCACCCCCGTCATGTGGACACCGACAGCACCCCCCGGTCCTACTGGTGGTAATGCCCGCCCTCTCCCTCTGTCTCCTTTTTCTCTCTACCCATTCCTTTTCCATTTTCCTTTCTCTTTTGCTGTCTTTTGCAGCCCCCTTCAGTGGGCAACTATTTCTTCTCGGTTTTCGTTACCAATAAATGGTTCTCWGATACAACGTTTGTCTCGTTTGACTTTATTTCGTTCTCGACCATCCGTTTTGAAAGAACTTCTCGCAGTTCCCCACGGTTGGAACACGACAAGCTGTATTTTGGATTTGTGCTGTAACAGTGTTGATAACACAGGGATGATGCTTTACCTATAGCTAAGCAATACTTACACAGCATCAAGGTCTTTTCTGCCTCTCACACATCAGAGAAGAGGCTGGGGGTGCACCAGAAGCTGAGAGGGGACACAGCTGGACAGCTGATCCCACTGACCAAAGGGATATTCCAGACCATATGGCATCATGCTCACATATACAGCTGGGGGAAGCAGGAGGAAGCAGTGGGACATTTGGARTGATGGTGTTTGTCTCCCAGTAACCCTTGTGCACAATGGAGTCCTGCTCTCCTGGACACGGCTGAACACCTGCCTGCCCATGGGAAGCAGTGAATGAATTCCTTGTTTGTCTTTGCATGTGTGAGCAGCTTTTGCTTTATGTGTTAAATTGTCTTCATCCCAACCCCTCAGTTTTCTCACTTTTATTCTTCCAATTCTCGCACCCCCTCCCATGGACGGATTAGGCTGGGGCTGTGTGGGGATTAGTTACTGCCTGGGTTTAAACATTATATAAGTTGAAAGCTTATGAGGATCAAAACTCAGAACTCAATCAACTGACAGGCTCTCCCCTCTCATCCTAATGTATATTAAACCAAGCCTTTTGCCACGACATCTATTGCCAACCTCCTCCCCTAAACCAGTGCCTTTTGGTTTTGTTTGTCACTCCTTGATATGGGGTTATCCCTATGTCAACAGATTTCATTTATGCAAACTGATCATCTCCAGGAAAAGCAGACTTTATCAAACTCRCTGTAAAACCCAGCCTAGAGATGGCAGCATTCACCACAGCTTGAACTGATATAAGAAATACAGGAAAACAGCTCTCCTCCCATTGTTTTTAAACTTATCTCTAAGTTGTTATATTAGCACAAGGGGTAGTGTCAGAACTGGTTAAAAAATGCAAATATTAAAAAAATCAAACTGGGTAAGGAAAGACTTGAGCTTTAGCCCCTCACGTACAACAGTAAGTTTTGAAAATATATAATGGGTTGAAAAAATCATTTCAGTCTTCATTGTCCTCTTGAGCTCATCATAAAAATTTCTCCCACAACAAAGAAGAACAAATAAAACTATTACATCAAAAGATTTTGTACAGATCATTACACAGAAAAGTAGGGAATGAAAATATTTATTTTTTAGTCTTTAGATACTTGAAACTTCGACCACTGTGCTATGGAAAAAAATGCTGTGCACAAAATCCATACCATCCATCAATTAATTTTCCATGTTTTTCAGTTCTATCACTGACAAATGACCACACCTCAGAACAGTTTTTGTGTATTCTAAAAATTGCTTGTAACAAAAACATTCTTTCAATTCCATAGATGTAGCATTTTTGCTACTTTAGCTGGAAAGCAAAATAGAAAGTACTGAACTTGATTTGGAAAATTAATTTTAAGTTACATTAGCACCAAAGCAGCAGAGCATTTTATGGCATAATCAAGCATGCATATCAAGAGTTTGAGCAATCAGTCTCTTCTTTCAGCAACATGAAAATTTCAAAGTAATCAGTACATTTGTCACTGGTCCTGCTTTAAGTCTTTGCCCACAAGCATTGAAGTGACAGGGTGCATAGAAGCTCTGTGTTCTAGAAAAGTCTTGACAGCCAGATCTCGACTCTTGTCAAAACTGTAAAGGTCCCTGTAAAAGAAGAAGTGGGGGGAGGAAACATTGGAAAAATCTAGGAAAATAATACAATRGGGATTTTTCCAAGGTTTTATTTTTCCCTAAAAAGCCTTGCGTTAGGGTGCATACTGGGACTAAGCTTTCTTCTGTGCAAAAAAATGTCAGCAAGTGGAAAGCGCCTCTGAAGATAAGTTTGTTCCCAGTATACAGAGAATTATCATACCAATTAAACATGTACAATAAATGCATTTCAAGTATTATACGTTTCATTATACTAGAAACGCCAACAGCATGAGCACCTGCAATTTGGAGATTACTTTTACCTGAACAATGGGCGAGTAAACTTCATCCTGCCCTGATCTGTCGCCATTTTTAGAGCCAGAGGAATAGCTTCTTCCCATTTGGACCTGATACAGAGACGCAGCCATCTGAAGAGAACAAAAAATGTGCACTTTTATTTTTATTTGTGGTAGTGTGGTGGTTGGTTATCTTATGATTCTGTTCCCATAAACGCTTTGAGCACTGCTGGGAATGAGATTCCTGCTAAGTTCAACGTAAAATATTTAGTGTGTGACTAGCACATTACAAAGTCAACTTTTTTATAAAACAGGAGAAAACTGCAGCCAAATTCCTCCAAAATGGAGGATTATTTTTTCCAGCTATTTTTTTATTACAGTAGTGTACAGTTGCATCACTCAGAGCAGAATTATACAGCACTTTTCCCATTTCACCCATGGATAAAACAAACAAACAMACAAGACCCCCAAATAAAATGCCACCAGCTACTGGCATGTGCTTGTTTTGTTTTAAAAAGAAATTGATCTTGTTACAAGAAGCAGAAACTATACAATATGTTTAAAATACTTAGTTATCAGGTTCCTTTGCTAGAATGCCCAATTAAAATAAAGAACAGCTTATCCACTGTCTGCTGAGTTCTTTTACTAGACTGTGTTTGTCCAATTCATAAATAACACGATACGACTCTGATAAGCATAATGCTTGCACATGCATTTACAGAGCCACAATAACAACAAAAACCCCAAACACTGCACCAGCTATGTAAAACAGGATGTCTCAGATAAAGCAGGACACCTTGTTTTATGAAAGAAGCATTTAAGATTAGAAAAGTGCCCATACTAGAACAAACCTGAATCTTATTTCAGAATTGTTTACAGCATTGAAGTCATATACTTCCTGCATGCGTTGGACATGTGACAATGGGAGAGGTTCCTGAAAAAGAAATTGCACAGTCAGAATAAGCCAGAGGAAGACTTCAACCAGATACTTCAAAACTAAACAGAGCTCATAGTGTATAGGGAGGGGCAGGGAATAAATATCAATAGTACTGATGCCCACACTCAGTACTATCGAAACATTCAAACCAAAGTATTTTTGTTCAATCTTATTTATAGCTTATTTGCTCTAACATCCAGTACAGATGGATTCAAATACCTCATGGTTTTGTTTTTAGCTTTCAACCCAAAATACTCTATATGTTGTTCATTAGCTGAAAGCCAGACTTAATAAGGGAGGTAAGGCAGAAGGTTTCAATAACTGTGTACAATGAGAGCAGATCAATTTAGCAAAACTTAAAAGAGTAATTTATTTTCAAAGGACAGTAGAGCTTGTGTCTGCTTTTGTGATACCAGAATTAAGTCATCCCGGATGTGCATTTACCTCCAATAGCAACAGTGCCAGGAACTCAATTATCTGATGCGATGACATTTCCTTCAGGTCTGCTGAGGTGAATGAGCCCAAATCACTTTCTTTTGCCTAGAAGAGAACAGTTACTTAATTTTTAATAGGTATTTCAAAGTACAGTCAGGTGTAATTTTCAGTTTTGACATTCACACCTACTGTAAAGCCATTTCACATAAAGAAGATACTGATTTGTATCTGTGAAGGATGTGACAATAAGAAGAAGGGAGGGACTTAACCTGCTGTCTGAGGTTTTTATTCTTCACTTATTTTCTCTCTACTAATTTTTTTATCTCCMCTGTCTTTCTGTTAGTTAAGTGAAAAATCAAATACTTTTTTTATAAAAAGTAACATTAAGAAGAAGAAAGTTAAAAGACAGCATGCAAATACAGTGAAATGCCACAAAAGGAAGGTATGCTGAATTCTCTATTAGCTGTATAATTTTTATGGTTAAAACTAGGAGAAAATTATGCGGTATTAGTTACTTAATAAAATTTATGTTCCAGTTTTTGATGGGAAATAYATACTAACTCCAGTATACCATAAGGGAATTACTGCTAACACAATATAATCAGTAATGTAGAGGTACCTGGGCATTTGCTTTTAAATCAAGCCATAATATCAAGGTTTCAAAAAGAATATTTTTCATTTGGTTACTACATACGTATAACAAGAAGMTGGCTCTGTGTCTTGTTAAAATATGTACTGCACTTCACAGAAAGAAGTTATAGCTAATCCCCAGACTCTGTGATGAAGGTCTAATCCRAGAAATGCAAAATCCCTGGCAGCCATACTATGACCATAAACTCACACTCAGCAAATGAGAGATTTCAGAAAAGAACAGCTCACTTTGCGTWACAAAGAAAATTAGCTTTTCAAGATAGAGACACCTCAGCATTCTTTAACCACTCACTTTGATCCATCTTTGGCTCAAGGCAACACAAGCATTTGACAGTGTCATATCATACCTGTCAAATATTAAAAACAAAGGTTCACATAATGAAATAATCACAGAATAAAAGTCTGAAAACATTAACGGTGACTATTTTTACTCCTATATACATGTACATAGTACTAGGGCATTTTCAAATAAAACTATAAGTTTTCACCCTATTTACAAACTGCTTCTTGTTTGGAAAATCTAATGCAATCTGGAGAAGGAAAAGATGAACTACAGAAAAATGCAGCTTACGTAGGTTTCACTGGTGGCATTCCTGGAGCATGAAACCACGAGCTCCAGTCAACTTTATCAAGAACATCTACCTACAAAGCAACACAAAACCTTATTAAATTTTAAAAGTGATTTTAGGATTTTTTTTCATTTGAGAAAATGAAATCTAGTGTCAGTAATTTTGTTTTGATAACATTCCTCCATAAATTACCCTGGAGAATCTTATACAGATTACTTTAAAATGAAGTAGTCCCTTCTATGAAAAGAAAAAGAAAAAAAGGCATTATAATGCAAACTTCATTAAATGCTAGATTACATCACATTAAGTTCTTGAAATAAAGAAAAGAAAGAACTGGTCTTTAAATAAGTTCTGACTTGGGCCATAATTCTGCATAATTAAAAGGTTTCAAGCAATCAGTTTTAAATACCTTATCCTTGAAGTAGGAGTACAAGAACTTCTTCCAGTCTTCTGTTACTATGCTCTTATAAGCAAACTGCTGAACATAAGCCTTCAAGAAGCCAATGAAGACATCTAACAATTAAAAAGGWAATGTTTTAGTGTTTGAAATTAAGGTAGAAAACAAAAATATATAAAATCTGACTAGCGCTTACCTGGTCCTCCAAGGAGCTGTTCAAGGTAAAAAAGCAAAGCAAAGCCTTTCTCATATGGCACGGATGAATAGGCAACATCAGGATCTACTTCGTCCAGATTAATGACGAGGCTAGTTACAGGATTTTTATCTCCAAGAGTATTTATCTGTGTCAAAGACACAAGAACACATATTAATCCAGGAAAACTAGGATTCTTGCAAATCTGTACTAATTCTATTTATAAATGTATAAACCATCCAAAACTGAGACAGATTAATTTCAAAGCATTCTCCTTCTTTTTTCCTATAGTTCCGAATCTGCACAAACCTTAGTTTACTACAATTTAGAATCAACCACCCTGTGCTCCAGCTGTCTCAAGGCAGTTAATTAYTATTATTTCTGTTATAGCCATGAGCACCTATTAGTCTAGTTATATTTATCCCACTATTAACAAACTGAACTACATCATTAAGCCTTCAAACTAAAAACCTCTGACAAGAAGAAGTGGCAGCAAAACTTGAGCTCTGAACATGAGGAGAACAGACTTCTCAGAAAACTAGTAAAACAGGCTGCTCAGAAAACTAGTAAGATCCCTGGGAAGATGTTTTTCTGGAAATTCTGATGGTCATGTTTGCAGATAATTTTGATAAGCTTTCAGCTGCCTATTAGCATGCTAACAGGTAATACTGCAATTTAGTCATACCCAGAACAACCAGAGCAGATAATTTTGATAAACTTTCAGCTGCCTACTAGTATGCTAACAGGTAATAGTGCAATTTAGCCATACCCAGAACAACCAGAAGAGTCTGTAAAGATGTTCACCCTTACAGAAAATCTTAAAACAATGCAAAAAGCTTTATCTCATCTGGGTATATAAAGCTATTACCTTGGGCAGCAAACACCTTGGAATCAAAGYTGTTCATCATCAATAAGAAAACATTAGGAAAGCTGACTAGACAAATTTTATTTGTGAGAAGCATATACAATAACTTTAAAAGTATTTACTGTATTCTGCAGCTCTCTCCAACCTCCAAGGGCCTGAAAGTGCCTGAACTGCTCACCAAACAAACAACCACCAATCCTGCGTTCCAGGTACACAGTATGACCCTCATTCAGCCTGGAAAGACATTGATACAGTCAGCACTGGTAGGATGGCAAAATGAATTTAGTCAGCCAGATTTAAATTTAAAATATTTTTAAAGTTACAGACTAAATTTAAAATACGATTTGCATTGCATTGATCATACCCACCAAAAATGCTCCCATGTTTTGTTGGTTACCAAGTTTCCTGTCCAGCTATGAGAGATTTCATGAGCAATAACCTGAAACACAAAAATCAGATCTACCATTTAGACTACTCTGGAAAAAAAAAATCAGATCTCAACAGAAAGAATATAATGCTAATGGGATCTGATTTACTACGTTACGTTCACAAAGCCAGTCAGCATTCACAGTTCTGTAGACCTATCCATATAAATTTCAAGCAGAGGACTAACACTACCCTAGCTGACAGAAGCAATTTCCAATGTCTAACCTGCAAGTCATAGAGCTACACTGATAAAAAAAATAATTCCTCTGGTAGTTTAGTGTAGGTAATTTGTTTATGAAATCACATTTCAGTATACAGAATACCAAGTGATGGAGTAGTACTGCTTTCCCACATAAGCAGCTTCTGGGAAAGCTAATGATGCATGATACATTGTAAAGTATCCATGTCAAATATATCAGCATTCTTGGTTCAAGACAATCTATTTTTTTTTAATTTAGCAGTACATCAGTCTAGTAGGAAGACATAGGCAGTAAAACTGCATTCAGAGTACTCAACTTAAAAAACTTAATTTACTCAAACTGTACCATTTCCACTTTGAAAAAACTATATATCAGTTTTGCTGCAGAGACACACACATAGAAGAAAGAAGTTATCTACTAACAACTTCAATGAGTCAATTAATTTGTGGTTTTTAAACTTATACACAGGCGTTGTGGTTTAACAGGACAGGAAAAGAGCTACAGAGCAGCCAACCTCGGTCAGCCCCCTATGTATAAAGGCACTCATGTTTTTTCCATCTGTCCATCATACAAAATAGGTATGTCTCCAGTTATATAGTTTACTTAAAACCAACCCTCACTTTTGTAAGACTCCTTGAGTTACTGCCTTAACTTTTAAGTTCCTCGATGAAGAGACCAAGTTTTCAGGTATTTATTATAAAGGAATTAAGATACAACTTCAAATTGTGTTCTACTTGAAGAGATTAATTTTTGACTTACATTTGATAGAGATTGATCACCTGCCTAAAAAGAAAAGGAAAAGACAAGTTAGTTGTCAGCTCAAGTCAACCTCAAAATAGACCACATAATGCAGTTTCTTAAATGATCTAGGGATCAAAGGAGGCAGGAACATTTGCAGGCCTTTCTAGGAAGAAGACTAATCCAATTTGTGCATTAATATCCATCACTTGATTGATAAGCAAGCCCCAAGGAAAAGCTGACTTTTATCACTGCTACACTTACCAATAGTGTTGGAGTTACAAAAGTAAGACAAGGATTCTCCATGCCACCATAAGGAAAAGAAGGTGGTAAGACTAACAAATCATACTGTCCCCACACATAAGGTCCTGCCAAGTCTTCTGCTGTTTTCAGCATAGCTTCAGCCTGAAACAAGAATTCACATTTGTTTCTAAGATGGTGACTGACTACAAAAACTGAAAAAATAATAAGCTATTGATCCCATATTTCATTCTCTTTCACCTTGGCAAGTCCCACCTGTAGAACAAGTATGGTACTGCATCAATATGTATTTTCAGTACTAAGTCTGTACTGCAATAAAATAGCATTTTCAAGGATGGAAAGTAGAGAAAGGGGAACGAAAGATGAATKAAACAGTGAACTGCAGTCTGCTTCTTTTCCAACACTACATGAAATAGTTACCTTACAACACTTTTTTTGCTGTTGTTAATTACTCACCTCAGAAAATTCATAGGCTGATTTATCCACTAGYTCCTTTTCAGCCCACACCAGTGTCCTTGGGCCAATCTTTCTGTTGAAAGTAAAAATAAATGCCAGTAAGACACTATGAACCAGAAGTGAGTCTACGGGAAACCAATACTGAGAGCATATGTGTAACTCTGCTGCTGAGTAACCCATGTTGCAGAGGAAACTCATTAGAGAATCTTTGCCTGCTTTTCCACTCCACTGCTGAAGCAAAGCCTTACAAAACAAAACAAACAACACGCATGCATTGTTCAGCACAAAAGAATAGGAAAACCACTTACAGATTTTTAAATGCTATTAAGCCCTAATATAAAAGCATTATTGTGGCCTAAATTAACACAACCTTGGGCCCATGAGAAATGAAGCAGAAGCAATACTTTTCCGCCTTTTGTACATGACAAGGCTGATCTGTTACCCAAGAAAGCACATCTATTCCCTGTGCTAAACTGTAATTGTAAAAGCCCACTAARGGCTTTTGAAGGTCCAAACTCTTTATGCTGTTTCTCTAATTTACAGCACAAGTAAAAAAAAWTATTCAAGAACAAATCAAGATACATGCAGTTTGATACAAATGAACRGGTTTATTGAATCTCTAAGACCTTTTAAAACTAAAGTAAGACCAAGAAACAAATTTCAAGAAAACTCTGAAGATTATTATGGTTATTAATATTTATACTTTGTACAGATTCACTCACCGACTTTCTAAAGCTCCAACCACTAAAGCAAACAAGTAGCAAGGTACAGGAACCTAGTGGAGAACATGAGAAAAAAAATTACATTATTTGTAATGTGAGTTATTAGAATAGTGATTCAGAGAAGAACAAARGTATCCAAATAAAGAAGTTTTCCTCCATAGTTTCCTGCCTTAAAGGCAGGCATGGTTTTTTCAAGAACATTGTTCTTTCTCCCCAGATGATACTCTTTTATCTGCAGGGTGTACTTGCTTCATAGATGTTTCAGGCAAAACCCACAGAACTGTAAGTACCATCTCTGTTTGGAAAAATCTGCATTCAAAATTCCAGCTGCTTTGGTTTCTCTTCAATACTGAGCTTCACTGCTAAGATCTTGGCGAGCTTAAAATTTGCAGGGTCTCTTTTCCAAAACTCACTCCTATATTATTTGTATCTGCATTATTTTCCAAGGATCAGTGCAGACAGAAAGGGTTTTGACAGGACTAGTTTTGAGTATACAAAACATTTTCAAAACTCAAATTTGGCTTTTCTGGGAATGCCAAAAAAGACCAGTAAACACAACCAGCACTTACTTACTGGTTGTCTTCTCAGAGCTGGAGTTCCATAATGCCTCATATTTCTAGGGTGGCAAAGACCCATCATGAGTAACGGTTTATCAAACACATCAAAACTTTATCTGGGATGATTGTGAGCTGCACAAGTCAGGAGTAAGCCCTTGTGCACCCATTTCCTAGCCGGGAGCACTTACGTTCTGACTGAAACGGTAAATCTTCTGAGTGCTGTCATCTGGRTCGGGTGCCTCTCCATCGCGGTTAGCACTCATAAGAGCCACCAGCTCCTTGGGCACGGATATCTGAAAGGGCACCCAACCATGAGCAATGCAGCTGGCACTCAGGATTACACTACTTACTACAAGTTGATAACAAAGAGTAGCCCAGAGTTGTTCTGTTTTAAGTCATCTCTGTCAAGTAGAACACAAGGCATATGAAAAATTTTGTCTTGAAGACTGGCCATATTGAATTAATCAGAGGAGTACCTCCAACAGAAGGTAAAATGCCACAGTGCACATATTGCTTTTTACTTCCTTAAACCTGCAAAGATCCCCCAACCAGAATATATCACTTAAGGCATATATCAGAGCCATTTCAAGTGCTTTTTAATTTACAGCACTCTTTGCTCTCTTACTGTCAGYTTTTCCTCATTTCTTTCTTACTATTGCACTTTTCTTTTCCTTTTGGAAATAGATACATATAAATGAAAAAAATAATTGATATATACAAAAAGAAAATGTTATAGTTAGAGAACTGCCACAGGAATATTGGCAGTTCTTTCCTCTCACATTAGACTAAACGTCAAAATTATGTTCTCATATTAGGCCACATGCTGGCAGTTACCAAAAAAACCCCACCAATGTAAATCACCCATTGCAGCAGTTGTCTTTAGTTAAGACACGACTTAGGTTCATCTACCTCTGCATAGTAGGTTAGTTTCACAGCAGGTGTGTCTTGGCATGGAAAGATGGCTCTGCAGTGGATAGCCTAGAGAGAGAGAAAGGAAAAAAGATAAAACTTAACAGCTTTTCTAATGCAGAGGACTAGAAATKATTAAATCAACTAACACACTATAGTGGAAATCTATATAGCTCCTCCAAAACCACATTATCTATAAAGCAATATTTCTATCACTTAGAGCTTATAGGCCTTTGTAAAAGAAATAATAGTAGGTAAGACAGAACAGACATATACAACATATTTGGTTGTAAAGGACCACATGTTCTTCTACAAGAATACTGGAGAGGGTAAAGCAGTTACAGAATTCTTAAACTCCAAACATATAAAATCTCAACAGAGTCCTGTTATTAAAGTGTTTTCATTTAGGATCTTTGAGATACACAGCTAGAAGTTACCAGCTACTGTTCTTCTCCTTACTAGTTTTGCTCTCCAGTTCTTTAGAAACCAAGGGAAATTACAGTGGTATGTGAAAAAGTTTGGAAAAAATGAACTCAACCTGGCACTGGCTGAAGAGAAATGGGTGTTTCTTTCCTGAAGTTTGCTCTGGAGTAAACCACTGGAGAGCTGAAGACTGTGGAGAGCTTTCAAAAGAGATTTCAACAATTGCTTCTTGTCCCCTGTATAATAAAGAACACAGTCAGACTGTTTTGACACAAATCCTGATCCCACTGAAATTCCTCTACAAACATGTCTGGAAAATAGGTCTGCAGCACTGTCTCCAAAGCATTAAAAACGGGAACAAATATCATTAAAAGCAATTATTCTCCTTCAATTATGATAGTAAAAAATAGATGGTTTATTTCAATTTTTATGTTCCAGGACATTTTTATTATTGTTTTTACTAATCAGAAACTTTTCCTCTTCTCTCTTCAAGGAGACCACAGACTTTTTCTTTAGACTATTTTGGTCAGCTACATGTATATAGTTTTCTCACAATTAAGTAACCTTTTACATGTAAGTTTAAAAAATCCTCAGCTATACACAAACAAAAAAGTGCAAAACCCTACAAAAGAAGATACAGGACTGAATAACATAGAATATGTATTCTGTAGATTAAAGAAAAAAAAATTGCATCTGATGTTAATGTTCTGCAAGTATTATTCTATACCAAGAAAAAAAATCCTGAAAATTTTCAGTAATTACAGAAAATTCCTATTAACAGTAGGTTAAGAAAAAAAAAGATAAGGTTCAAATTTATTTAGGGTTTCAGAACTAGTATCAAGTAAAAACTAACAGCTTTGTGTAAGACAGGTATCAGTTTGCTAACAAGACCACACACGAATCTGATACATTCATACTCCTATTTATTAAAAACATATCTTAACSGTCAGTGACACCAAAAGCACACGAAGTACTTGTTTCTGTTCTCAGAAATTTCCAGATGATACATGCAACTCTCTGGAATAAATAATCCAGCCATAAATTAGAACAAACTTCAGCTAATCAGAGGAGTTGRACACTAGATAAGCTGACCAGGTGTACACATCTGATTTATAACCAGTATTCCAAAGTACGTATTCGACAAGTAAAGAGAAMATAACTGGTATTACCATAAGGCACATTGGCCTTCTGAACAGTCTGACTTTCAGTTGTAACTCCTACCCTTTCCTATCCCTGTTCTATTGATAATTACATGGGGGACTATGTCTCACACAAGATTATTAATTCGTATGATCACAACTCATAACTCCCTCCTTTTTKTCTTACAAGGAAATTTACCACTTAGAAAAAAAAGGAAGGTAGATGAAAGTCAAACAAAAGAATCAGGCCTACATTTCTGATGTGGCCTGTTTGCTCAAGGACTTAGTTTGTTCAATTTCACAACAGACCAGAGGTGTTTCTCCAGAAAAGACAGCTATTTTATGAGATTCCTGTCACCTCATTATTTCTGTTTCTTAATTGCACTAATTCAGAGTACAAATTAACAAAAAAAAAAAACCAAAAACCAAACCCTCGGAAACCAGACTAAACTGAAAGTTTTTTAGAGGTAGTAAACAGTTCTGAAAGCCAAACAGTAATAAGAAAGAAGCAATTTAATACTAAATACAAACAATGGAACTTCCTTATAGAATCACAGCTTTCAGTTTTGGCACATGGAGGACTGAGATACCATCGAGTTACAACATACAAACTCCCAAAAAACACATTGTAATTTGGCAAGAACTTCTTAATTCATGCCACTTAAGAGGTAGAATGTGTTTAGTTCATTCTCCATCATGCTGCCAAAACTCAAATTCCAGTTTTCAGGGACTTGGACTTGTAGTTAACAAAACAAAACTTTCGTTATTCGAAAACATGCTTCTATCTAATCACAGAGGTAACCCTAAGTTCTACAGAAATGCAGAATCAGCCCTCGTATAAAAGAAGAGCCAACAGGGCAGTAGATCCATGTGCACTATCCTGTAACAATTCTGAACCAGACAAAATTCAGGTAGTTAAATAGAAACAATATTACTGATGAGAAACACTGGAAAAAATCGTGATACATTACACATTATTTTGCTACTCAGTTTAGTAAGCAATTTTCTAAATTACATTAMATCTGGGGACAGGTACAAAGATTCCCAAAGTTTTGACTAATGAAAGCCAAATACGACATTAATCTAAAAGACCACAACAAATGAATGCAATACCCTAATTTATAAGTCCCTTTGCAAGCTTTACACAGCAACCCCACAGGCAGGCAAGTAGCTTATACAGTACGTTTTGAAAACCACCTAAACAAATAGGTGAAAGTGTTTACCTTCTTAGTTCATTAGGAAACGTGATTTCTAGGGGGGTSCCCTTGAAACTGTGCTTTTCTCCAAAAGCAAATTGTGCATCCTGTCCATTTACAGTCACTTTAAAGACCTGTACATCTTTTGTATCCAGGACCTGTGATAAAGAATATATTGCATACCAGATAAATAGTGTAATAATAAATGCAGCTCTGTGAAATCTTAAACACAAGTCTCTCCAAAGGAAAAAGTATTTACTGAGTAAAACTAGAAAAGCTGACTGTGTTAATCACTAGGAACTAGCATTTTACGAGAGTAGCACTGAACTCGGAGAGCTGGAGGGGAAATATGAAGGAAACCAACTTCTAACGCAGGAAGTGAGTTTAAAAGGCAAGCTACAAAGGTAACAACTCCACACTACTGCTATGAAGTGAGGAACATGRTATAAAAGCCACTGCTAAGGCTTCCATCCTGAAAAACGCCACGGCGAATCCAGACCTTCATGCAATGGAAGATAAATTAAACAGCACAGTACTCATTTTTAGCACAAATGAGGCACTACTCTTTATTACTAACAGGATTGGGCTTTTTTCTTAAAAAAATATGCGCCAACCAAAAAAGAGTTTAATGGAGTCAGCATGAGAAAAGGCCACAACCCCAAAACTTCGCATATAATGGAAAGCTAAAGAGGTTCRTATGCTTCTTTCCAGAGATAACAGAGAAAGCAGCTGCCGTAACGAAACACACAGACAAAAAAAAATCCTAAATCTGGTTTTCCAGTGATTTATTCCCATCTTTTTGGCAGCATGCTCTTCGCCGTTTTRAAGGAAAGTGACCCTGTCCAGCCCTTCCCAAGCGCACCGCGCCGGCTTTGGGGGGACAAGCGGGAACCGGGGGCTGCGAGGCGCTGTCAGTCTCCAGGCGAGCCAGAGACTGGCGGGGAGGGTCCCGGGAGGTCCCCCGAGCGTGGGGAGGGGAAGGAAGGGCCGGGATGACGGGGGAGCGGAAAGCGGCAGCAGCGCGGGCTGCGGRCTCACACTCACGGTCCGCAGGGTCCCCTGGCGCCCCCCGCCCTCACAGCCCCTCCCCCGCCGTTACCAGGCAGCGCAGCGCCTCGCGCTCCGCGCGCGCGGTGAAGGCGGCCGTGCCCCGCAGCGCCCGCGCGCCGAAGTCCACGCGGCAGCGCAGGTGGAGGTGCCGCGTGAGGCAGCACGCGGGAGACGCGAAGGAGCTCGGGTCCGCCATSGCTCGCGCGCCGTCTGCCCGCCCTACCCGGCCGTGGCACCGCAAGCAGCACAGAGCCCGCCACGGGGAAGGGGGAGGCCCCTGGGAGGTGTAGTGCCGCCCTCCGCGCGGAGAGGGCGGAGGCACTGCGCGAGAACTACAGAACCCGTGATGCATTGCGAGAGGGGCGGGGACGAGCGCGCCGAGAAATTTGGTTGGCTGSAGCTGGCCCACAGCAGACTGCGAGCCACCAAATAGAATATGAGCTCTTCTGCAGAGTGACTCGCTGTGCAATTCCTCGTTAGTATAGTGGTAAGTATCCCCGCCTGTCACGCGGGAGACCGGGGTTCGATTCCCCGACGGGGAGGCACGAAATTCTTTTTTTCGGACAGCCGTAGGAAGAGCATTGCGCTTCTGATACGGGAAGAACACAGCAAAACCTCTCTGTGTCTGCCTGCTTCCCTGCGCCAGAGCTGGGGTAGCTGCAGGGGCTGACAAGATMAGCTGCGAGAACCTGCAGCAGGTGCAGGGAAAGTATTTTCATGTTTTAATGACTCAAATAGGTGTGTAGTTTATATCAAAGTGACAAGGTGCTTATGAGGCCTGAACAAAGGGATTCAACCTTTCAAAAGGTTCACCCTTTTTCTTACACCAAAATGGAAAGAAATCTAACCCAGCCTCACTTAAATCGAAACAGTGGGAAGTGAGACCGGTCAAACAGGCATGGCAGAAGAGGGAAGGTGGTAGGTCGGAGGCCATGTCTCGGCTTGTGGTAGTGCGGCCTGACATTTTAGTCCTCAAAGTGAGAACTTTGGTGATCAGAAAGCCCAGAGGCTTCACTGGATCCTGACCTGAGCCCTCATGTCCATCCAGCAGGCCAGTGCCATCTGCTGTACTTGATAACAGTAGATTGCAGAACAGCTGTGAGACTCCAGCAGGCCTGCTTACCTTTACTTATTATCGCTGAAAATGCTTTTATAGGCACCCCCTCTTTTTTAATCCTTTTACCACAAGGCAATATTTATTTATTTATTTATTTATTTATTTATTTATTTATTTATTTATTTATTTCACCATTCAGCACAAAGATACTAAAAGAGATCTCCTGTCTAGTGGGAGGTCAGCAGATGCTGAGCGGTAAATACCATCGCCCAAATTTCTCTTTTTCCAAGTCAGGAAATAGCTCCATGGCCAATTGCACATAAAAGGAGTAAGGAGTTAGGACCCGAGGCAAGAGGCTGAGACACCCTGCAGTGAGGGGTGCTGGATGCATGTGCTGGTGTTCAGAACAGGAGGCTGGCAGCCCTGCTCTGGCCCTGGCTTTGTGCASTTGGACAGTTTCAGTAAAACTAATGTCAGCTCTGACCTGAACTGCACAATTAATGCAAATTATGCTGTACTGGGAGTGACCTTGCATCAGCCACACAAACAGCAGCAAGCACTCCAGTAAGGATATACACAAGAGAAATTTTCTCTGTGTAATAAGAGTTAGCACACAAGTTGACAAAACTCTGGACAAAACATTGCTGGAAACCATGAGCATGTAATGGCAAATGCAGACTCTAACCCCTGTCACCCTTAGAAATCAGTTCCTGAAGTAGTGCACACTCAGCGTGAATCTGCACAGCCATAGGAGCAGCACACCAGGAGCTGGGAGGAGCTCAGGGCACAGGAGGAACACTACAACTGATGTACGGTGCAAGACCAACAGTTGCTTTCTGTGGGCTCACCAGCTGATGGCAAAACCTGTGGGTCTTAAGAGCATCCCACCACCCCAGTTGTCCGGTATGGATTGAATCTGAGATGGCAATGAGAGAAGCACATGAAGAGGAGGGGATGTGACACAGAGTATCATCCACAGTGACACCCTGGAGCTTTGTATAAACTGTCCAGACTGCAGCCATATGCCCAGGCAAACTAGGTCAGCACAGGAAAGGAGTTTCAGTAGGTCTATTGCTGTATTACGGAAGTAAGAATAAATAACCATAAGATTTTTCCTTTAGTGATTTCTGAATGTCGTGCCATGCTCACTTCCCTTTCTCAAAGTCCACATATATATTTCATCAGAAAATCAAGGGAACTTATTTTGTTTAGTAAGCAGTTTATTTCAAAACAGAGGTCAGACCATAAAATAAGATGCAAGAACCATTTAGTATGGGTGTTGGCATCCAGTCAGGCAATTTCAGCTGTCATAAAACAATAAGGGATTAAGAAAGCAATTAATTCAAAACAGAACTCTGCTGACAGTGTTTCTAGTCATAAAAAAGAGTCTTTTAAGCAGTTTCATACTTGCTTAGTCGTGGTTCTCGTTTTCAGATTTAGCTTTCACAGTGCACAAGAAACTACCCAAGAGGCCAAGTTTTGCTGTAGACATGCAACTTCCAAAGTCTCAGAAAGCCATTCTCATTTGTGCGTAGGCAAAAGTGAAAGAAGAGGAACAAGGAGCTCAGGGCATTGAGCAGGGTTTTACAAGATCAGCCTTTCTCCACCTGCAGGGTACTTTGTTCTCACMTGAATCATACAGGTCAGCTAAACCTCTTTCCCTTCTCCTGTGCTCCCAAATCCTTCCCATGCACCCCCCAGAGGTGTCACTCCCCAGCTGGCAGTGTGGAGCTGGGACAGCTGGAATGCCAGCAAGCCCAGACACAGCTCCCCACACCATTTTAGGCCTTCTTGAGAATTCTAGTGCARTTCAGGATAGCTTCCTCGGAGCAAAGTCCACAGGAGGTGAGGGATCACTTGGCTGGAAGACTTCTGCAGTTGTTTGCAGAAGGGAAATTTGAATGAGCACTAATGAAATCTGGAGAAGCAAATAATTCAGTATTGATAATAAAATTCTTGCCCTGATTTCTTTGATGCTTCTAGTCCTCCCACTTGGCTTGCCATCATGTGTGTGTTTTATTATCCTCAATTTAGCAAAACCTCAGGGAGGGCCAGTATTATGGCTGGTTTGTGGCCAAACTAGCAAGACAAGAGCAGGCTGGAGAGTAAATCATCAGTTGCAGCCTTGCTGAATTCATAGGCTAGTAGCAAAGCAGCACTGAGGGGAGGTGTGGGCTGGAGGGTCACACTGATGGCATCTTGCTAAAGCATCTGGGTGAAGTGTGTTCAAGCCCTGGGGACTGTGTAATTTTATGTATTCTGTCCTCCGTGTGCTGTATTCRTATGTGTATTTAACTAAGTGCATTTTATGAATGCTTAACTCTGCCAAAAATTTTATGTAATCTTTGTTAAGAAGATTTTTGAAAAGCAAAATATTGCTTGCAAATGTTAGAAATGGCTTTATGTCATTTGTAATGAGGATATACAAACTTAGGAAGTTTTGTATTAGCAGTTATTCTAAAAACAAGGAAAATAAGATACAACTCCCTTCTCCAACTTAATAACTTGCATTAATTCCATATCACTTGGAAGAAAACTAATCAATAAATAGGGAGATCAGGTAAAGCAGATTAGAAAATGTTACTATAAATAATGTTACTATAAACGTTCATCAAAGGGTAATAGCAGGAATAGGTAATGACAAATTGTTCACAAGCTTTCTTGCAGGTCAGGACATACAATGTAAACATGATGTACTGACGATTTAGGAGGATAAAAGCCCTTTACCCCACCTCGATTCTTCTACACAAACTTCCAGCGCTAAATCTTTAGGCTGCTAAGAAGGGAATCTTGGCGCCTCAGAAGGTGCTGAAACAATTTGCAACAGTAGCTGCTGAATGCTTCTAAACCCTATGCAGGGTAAACCAGCAGATCATGTAAATTAAGAAAGCAGAGTGAAATAATTTAATCCTTACTGGAGAARTTTTGGCTTGTCATCATTAGCATCCACAAACTGTTGGCCTCAAGGACCCCAATTGGCTCCAAAATCTTCTGTCTCCACTGAGGAGTCTGGCTGCCAGCTGCCATGACCAGCTCTGTGATGGTACCAGCCTTGAAACAGCTCCTAGGAAAAGACCTGTGTGAGGATGACAGCTGGGCCATGCCTGTCCAGTGTCTGCCACCACCCCTGTCCCACTCACTGTGTGCAGATGCTGTGGACTGTACCTTTGTTGGTGGCAGGATGGCCCCAGTGCCCCCAAAGAGCAGCCCACTCTTGCAGCTCCCTGGCACACAAACAATCACAGAGCAGGATGCGAGGCTGTGGACACAGAATGCCAYCAAGGAGCTGGCAGTTGAGTCCTTTCATTGAGAATTTCCAACATCTTTACACACACAGGTCTGGGCATTCAGGTGCTGCATGTTCCTGCAGCTGCAGCTGGGTCACTGCAACGCTAATATAAACCAGATAGGACACTGACCTACCTGCCAATTAAAAAATACCCAGGCAGCCATCAGACATTTGATCCCAAYGCATGCTGTGGTTTTATGACTCCTCCAGACTAGCCTGACATCCTTCCACATTAGCTCATAAGAAGGGTAAATTAGATGTCCACTTTTTCTCAAGAAGCTCTTAATATCTTGTGCACCTAATACCTGAGCATAATGACATACAAGSAACTGTTCAGTTCTGTACATGMATCACCMTTAATGGATCCAGTTTCCTGGAACATATAGATGRAAAACATTTAAAAGCAGTATCTTAGTAGTAGTTTATTCTCCTTTTATTTTTTGCAATGCTTTAGAATGTCTATTCAATTTCTTTTATTTTTTCCTGAACAAGATAGCTCCTCAGTGCTGTCTTCTCTGTAGAAATGAAAAACCACTTCATACAATTCTATCTCTACCTGTCAGATGGTCTGTTAAATATAATTTCCATGTTTTTAAATATGCACATAGCTTACACCACCAGAAAAATTACCCTCAGCTTTTAGCTTATGCTTTTTTAGGTTTTTTTTTAACTTACTATAGAGACCTGATGTCCAGATTCACTCATATTATTTCAGAAGGAAAACATCCAAAAACCACAATACACATTTGATAATATTAACCTACAGCTCTGTGTACACTAACTTAAGGATTGCTACTTGAACTGATCAGATTTGTATTTTTACACAGTTATGGCACAATTCCTTTTTAGTGCTTCAAGGTGTGCAGTGTGTTTTCTTCTCCAGAGGATGTTATTTAACTGTACATGGA